TGGGGAAGAGAGGCAGCGCTGGAGATGCGCAGAGCTGGGGACCCAGGCCGTGGGAGCCTCGGCCTTCTTTGCTCTTCATTATGGTGTGCCGAGAGCCACACTTACCAGCGTGCCCGCTTCTGCTTGCAGATGACGCTTGGTCATTTGGTGGATGTTCCTAACAGTTACTGCTGTCTGAGTGCACTGAGTAAGAACCCCGTATTGACAGTAACGCGAAGGAGGGATTTATGGGCATGGAAGCAAGGAACTGACAGCCACAGCTCTTTTGTCATAGACAACTATTTATAATTTATTTTGTTAAATAAAGTTGATTTTCTTTCACCTAATTTTCACGTTAATAAAAACTTGGTGTTTTTTTATGGGAATTTCTAAAGCCTTTATAGAGTAATAAAATTAGTGATAAATATCATGAATTTTTTTTACAAATAGCTTAATATTTTAGAAAAAAGTAAGCTGTCTCTATGTTAGTAAATTATGTGAATTAACTACAAAAATAGAATAGCTTTATTTAACATTTTAAAGCAATAAATAATTCATTCCCTTAATGAGTTGTTTTTTTTCTGTAAGATTTATTATTGGACACATATTAATACTTGCTATGATAATTTCTGAGATATTTCTTATGAATAATTTATTTTATCTTTATGATATATTAAAGCTCTAATTTACTGAAACTCTGTACAAGAACCAAGCTAGTGAAAGGTAGTGCTGGTGTTGGTGTCTGACATCTCTGGCTTCACCCCTTAGTCCTTGTCTGCCAGATCCCATTAATAAAGCAGAGAGAAGCCCCGGACAGTTTGTCATGGCTAACCCGAGTCCCTGGATTGGAGCGACGGTTTGTGCGAAGCTTCACGGGTGTCGTCTTCTCCTTAACAACCGGATGTTAGTCACTGGTTTGTCTTGTAATAGCTCAAGCGGAGCGAACAGTGCTGCATCGTGTGGGCACGCTCGTGGGCTTTCTTCCGTACACAGTCTGCTCAGAGTGCACCCTGGGTGTGCGTGCTGTCTGCGCACTGCTGGGGACGCTTCCGGTTGCTTGGCTGGGTTGAGAGCAGCAAAACGTTCTACGCCCTGGCTGCAGCCTTAACCTGAGCCTTAGTGAAGGCTGCCCTGAAAGCTTTGAGAACCCTGAATGTTAAGCGCGCCACTGACGTGGGTGGGTGTGTGTGCATGTGTACATGGGAACACACACTCTGGAAATGTGGACCTATGTAAGTTTTATCTAGGGTAGTTCTTAGAGCCAGATATAAGAGACTCTGGAGAATTTTTATTAGAGATTTCCTTCTTTGTGTTTTTTGACTTGCAAAGTTAGCTTTAAGTTATAAATCCAAGGTATTGGGCTGTGAGTCCCCTTCTTTGTCCTCGCTAGCCTCCTGCTGGCCCTCTCTCTCCCCCAGCGTGCACTCTGGACACTTGCTGCTCAGTGCACCAGGTCGGGCAGCTGTCACTCAGTGCTGTAAGAAGGAGGTGGACGACCTGAGCTGACTCGGTATTAGAAGGGTTCCAAACCTTCTCAGACACTCTTGAGCTGTCACAGTTATTTCAGGTCCCATTGTAAAGCTTTTCTGGGCTGCTAAAGCAAATAAACAAGCAAAAACTAACTAAGGTGATGTTAGGGTTTCTTTTGTTTAAAATATTTGTTTGCTCGTTAATGTGTTTCCTTGAGTTGCTGTGGACGGCTTGAGGGCTGGCCTGCACCTTGAGGGAGGGCTGGCCTGCACCTTGAGGG